CAAGCTTAAATTCCTTCCGCAAGCTTAAATTCCTTCTTTTGAGAGCGCGCTGTTCGCGCGAGTGCGCCGTACCTCCGCAGCAAGTACGACACATAGCCTGTACTGGTCCGCGCAANGCAGGAATTNGCCACCAGCCAGCACAGGAGCTACGGCCCACTCGCGCGAACAGCGCGCTCTAGTCCGTCCGTCCCTCCGTCGCCGTAGCTCCTACGAAGTAGGAAAGCGGAGGCCTTAGGCCGATCCGGCGTCCGTCTGTCCACCAAGTCGCCGGTTCAATCCCCAGTGCGCGCGCGTCTTTTTTTTGCGCGCTTTTTTTTCTTTTTTCTTCGTATGCTTCATATGGACATATGCACATATGCAATATGCTTCATATGCACATATGCACATATGCTTCATGTGCACATGTGCACATATGCTTCATATGCACAGAAGCACATATGCACATATGCACATATGCACATATGCACATATGCACATATGCACATATGCACATATGCTTCATATGCACATATGCACATGTGTTTCATATGCGCAAATGCTTCATCTGCAAGCATATGCCACATGCGATGTGCAATCATATGTGATCTGCAAGCATATACGATCTGCAAGCATATGCGATCTGCAAGCATATGGGATCTGCAAGCACATGCCAGATGCGATCTGCAAGCATATGCCGTAGCATAGCATAGCGCGTACGGCATAGCATAGCGCGTACGGCATAGCGTAGCATATCATAGCGCGTACGGCATAGCGTAGCATATCATAGCGCGTACGGCATAGCGTAGCATAGCATAGCGCGTACGGCATAGCATAGCGCGTACGGCATAGCGTAGCATAGCATAGCGCGTACGGCATAGCATAGCGCGTACGGCATAGCGTAGCATAGCATAGCGTGTACGGCATATCATAGCGCGTACGGCATAGCGTAGCACAGCATAGCGCGTACGGCATAGCATAGCGTAGCATAGCATAGCGCGTACGGCATAGCATAGCGCGTACGGCATAGCGTAGCATAGCATAGCGCGTACGGCATAGCGTAGCATAGCATAGCGCGTACGGCATAGCGTAGCATAGCATAGCGCGTACGGCATAGCGTAGCATAGCATAGCGCGTACGGCATAGCATAGCGCGTACGGCATAGCGTAGCATAGCATAGCGCGTACGGCATAGCGTAGCATAGCATAGCG